CCAGTAGGATATGGGTGCACACTCTGTGGGCACTGTGTGTGCCTTGTCACACCTCTTGTTGTTCCTTTCCCCCATCTTCATGTATGTATTCCAGAACATTTCACTCTAATAGGGTGAATAGGGCCCCAGTTTGTCTCAGCATGGGTGTCCTGAGCCCCAGTCCTCTTGGAAGTGGTCAGCTAGAATAACCACTATAGAATGATGGCTCTGAACCAGATGTCATACAGCTCCTCAGGCTTCTCTTGGTGATGTCTTGACTTTGAGGACCATCAGTTATATGTTTGGTCTGCAGGTGAATATCTTAGTAATACTTAATAGGAATTTGAATACCAAAAATACCAAAAGAATACCAAAAATCTTTATCCAACATCTTGACCTTTAGTGAGTTGGGTGCCTTGACTGGGAGTTAAAATACCAGAGTGATCTAGTACCCAGATCCAACTATATCCAGAAGAGTTTTCTTGCCTTTTAACTATAAATAGCTCAGCACCATTCCCCTAGGCCCCTGCACTCATTTTGAGCTTTCTTCTCTTCTTCTTTTTTCTTTTTTTTTCCTTTTTTAAAGAAAAGTGCATATGCACTTTCAGTTTAACAGATTTATCTGATCTTTGACCAAGACTCTCCTCTCTAGATGAATGAGGGGATCCCACAAGCAGTCAGTGGAACCACATAGGCAAAGCACGTAGCTCAGTGCTTGGCACGTAGTGGGTTGTATTCATTTCTGATTGTAGCTAGAATATGGCCATAAGCTTCGTGGCTTAAACCACACAGAGCTTTTTTTTATCTGACAGTTCTGGAGGTCAGAAGTCCTAAAATACAGGGCTGTGTTCTTTCTGGAAGCTTTAAGGGAGACTCTGTTTCCTTGCCCTTCCAGTTTCTGGAGGCTGCCTGCATTGGTTGGCTCCTGGTCCTCTCGCCATGTTCAAAGCCAGCAGTGTAGCATTTTCAAGTGTCTCTTTCTCTCTGGCCTCTGCTTCTGTCCTCACATCTCCTCTAACTCTGACTCTTCTGCTTCCCTCTTTTTTTTTTTTATCAGTTGTTTTTATTGAGATGAAATTCACCATTTTAATAATTTTAAAGTGTACAGTTCAGTGGTTTTAATATATTCACAATTTGTACCTCCATCACCACTGTCTTATATCAGAGTCACCTTCTTATAAGGACTTCTGTGATTACATGGGGCCTCACCAGTAATCTAGGATAATCCTCCTAATCTCACAGTGCTTGGCCTAATCCCATCTGCAAAGTCCCATTTGCCATGTAGGGTGACACCTTCCCAGGGCCTGGGCATTAAGATGTGGATACTTTTGTGGGGCTGTTATTCAGCCTGCCACACAGGTCCTTAGAAACGATAGTGTCTCTTGAACTGACCTTCTCAATTTGGACACACTAAGCTTTTGTACTACAACTTTCTAGAGTCTTCATCAGAATCCTCTGAGCATCAATGAAATATACTGGTCTTAGGAAATGTAAGTACAATAGCTCTGGTAATAACTACTGTTTATTGGGCACCCAGCATGCACTGGGTCAGTTAGGAGGACTTTTGGATGCGTTGCCATTTAGCTTTTCTTGAGGTTGAGTTGCTATTTCTGCCAGTCACTCACCCTTAGAAGACCAGAAGTATTGGGCGCCTGGGTGGCTCAGTGGGTTAAGCCGCTGCCTTTGGCTCAGGTCATGATCTCAGGGTCCTGGGATCGAGTCCCGCGTCGGGCTCTCTGCTCGGCGGGGAGCCTGCTTCCCTCTCTCTCTCTCTCTCTCCCTCCCTCTCTGTCTGCTTGTGATCTCTCTCTGTAAAAAAAAAAAAAAAAAATCTAAAAAAAAAAAAAAAAAAAAGAAGACCAGAAGTATGAAATTTAGCCTTTTCCCTTGAAGAGATGTGATATAATAGGGCAGGCAATGACTTCTGACTGATCGTCCACGGACTCTACACTTTCTTTGAATTGAAGAGATCAGAGGAATTGCTAGTGTTTCTTACAGAATTAAAACATAGCACATGACCCAGCATCTCCATTTCTAGGTACATAAACTGGAAAGCAGTGAAAGCGTATGTCCATGCAAAGACCGGTGCTCGAATGTTCAGAGCAACATTATTCACAATAGTCCCCAACCGGAAATAGCCCAAATGGCCATCAGCTGGTGATTGGATAAACCGGTTGTGGCATATCCAAATAATGGAATACTACTCAGCAATTAAAGAGAAACAGGCTGTTGATGATAATGTGAGAGAGTCTCAAAATACGGGCATAGGTCGAAGAAACCAAACACAGAAGCTGTATGATGGTGTGAATGTCCTTGACACTACCGATCTGTCCAGTTAAAAATGGTTAAATGGCACATTTCTTAGGATGTATGTTTTACCACAGTTTTTTCTTAAAAAGCTACATAATGTATGATTCTATTCATAGGAAATTCTGGAAAAGGCAAAACCATAGTGACAGAGAGCATACCTAGTAGGTGTCAGAGGTCAGGGTTCAGGGAGGGGTAGACTATTCCAGGGCATGAGGGAACGTTTTCAGGTGACAGAGATGTTCTACATCTTGGTTATCACGGTGGTTCTGCAGCTGTATATGCTTGCCAAAACCTATTGAATCAATATACCTAAAGGTGAGTTTTATACTGTTTATAAATTATAGTTCAGTAAAGCCAATAAAAAGGAGGAAAAAATGGCTAGGAATCTGATGGAGTTAAAAAAAAGTTCTGTCTCCTGGTTAATTATTAGGGGATTTGTCTTTCTGTTTTACAGAGAGCTTGGGTATCAGGTCATAAACAGTACGACTGAGGGGAGTACATGACCTTTGCATCCCTCATTGGGTTACACGAACACGTTCAGTAACTGCGAACAGTATCTAATACATTTAGGGTCCACAGAATTACTTGAAAGTTGCCTTAATGAGAACATTATCAACAGTCAGTATTCCCAGAGGCAAAGGAAGGAAGACTATGTGCTGTTTCTACCAGGGGTCCTTTCTGGGTTGAGTTTTGCCTACTTGCCACCCAGAGGAGTGATTCAGTTGAGATATTTCGTTGCACCTTTGATACTAACTTCATTTTGGTGTAAAAATTTTTAAATAACAGGTTGGTAAAACCTTTTGAATAATATAAGGTTGGTGAAAACATCTATATCTTTTCTCATTGAGGTCCCCAGTTTTGGTCAAATTCTGTAGCTTCTTAAAATTTTTATTTTATTTTTTATTTTTTTAAGGATTTTGTTTATTTGAGAGAGAGAGAAGGGATAGTGAGAGAGCATGAGCGGGGAGGAGAGGGAGGAGCAGGATCCCTGAGAGCAGGAAGCCCAATGTGGGACTTCAGGACCCTGAGATCATGACCTGAGCCGAAGGCAGACGCTTAACTGACTGAGCCACCCAGGGGCCCCTGTACTTCTTCTTCTTCTTCTTTTTTTTTTTTTTTTAAAGACCTTATTCCTATTAATCTCCCTGGGGTATTTGACCTTAATATCATCCCCTCTTTCTCAAAAGCTTCTTTCTCTTTTGGTCTCTGAGAATACTACACTCTAGTGATTGTCTCCCAACTGCAGGTATGATTTCATTATCTCTTTGGCTCATGTATCTCTGTCCTTAGGTCCCCCATGGGAACACAGCCCATTGCCCCATTTTCTGTGGGCTTGTGCCTGAGGGTATCTTATCCTTTCCTGTGATTAATCTCTTCTGTCACATCTCAAAGCTCTTGTCCCAAGTTCTCCATCAACTTTGTCTTTTGCTTCCAGCTACCTCCAGGGTATTTTCACCGTCCTTATTTCTTACCATTGCCCAAATTAAATGTATTCCTTTTTCTTCCACGTCCTCTCTCATTCAGGGCTTTTCCGTGTCCTTGAGACATGTCTTCTTTCCCCCTCACGTTGAAAACCTGGAGCTGGGCTACTTTCCCTTTTCCCCCATCTCCTCTGTTCATTCACTGTTCAGATATTTTCTGTTTCCTCTGGGTTCTCTCCCTTCCTTTCAGCCTTTTTGATACCAATTTAATCTGCGTCTTTATTGTCAGAGGTCACGTGGCAGAGGTCACATTCTTGAGTGCGAGCTGCTGGTCAGCATGACAAAGGAGGTTTGACAGTTTGGGGAGCCGTTTGTCACTAAGTCCATGTGTCAGAATTCTAGTAAATTACCGAATCTCTAGGTTCTGGAGCTTGACTTTGCTCTTATGGTCTATCTCTTGGGATGCTTTGGAAAAGCTCAATGTTTTCTTTTATGTGTCTGGTGTCCCCTTTGCTGCCACAGCCTGTAATTTTTTAATGACAGCTTTTCCTTCTTTCTTGAGTATATGCCCATGCTTCCCCTGTGGCCTGCAGAATCCTGCGTTTCATTTGGGATATCTTTGCTGCCTTTGTGCTCTCTCTAAGCAGTTCCTAATTTCTCCTCCTGACCAACACTGCCTTAATATTCCAACTGAAATCCAAAGCTGAAGCAGCTGACATTGCAGATTTTCATGTACTTCATTCCTGTTAATTACCAACTACGTGCATCTGTTTTTATCCCTTTTGTTATTTTCCTCTCTGATTTTCCTTGGGAGGTAGTTAAGACTTTTTTTTCCCCCCCATAAATTCTCTTCCATTGACCTGCATTTTCTTATAGCATTTATAAAAGTTTCTTTGTAGGCTTGGGTGTAGAGTTGAAGGAACATGGGAAAATTTTGTTAATAAGAGAAGACCCACGAAGTGCAAGTTATATTATCCTGCACTTATTCTTCCCAAAGGGGAGGGCTGGCCACAGCCTGTATTTCTCAAAATTTAACTGTGTCCTCAGAAATAAGGTAGTCGTGCTTAATTTTTTTTCCATTTATTTTGGCGGTGAAAGACGTGCTTTGGAAGGGGAAAGTTGATGAGTTACCTCAGTGCATAGGCTGTTTTAAGGTGTTATAGTTCAGATATTTCTTTCACCAGAGAAATTTAGTAAACATGAAGTCAGAGGCCAGGACATACTGATTTTTCTGAATCACAATATGATGCTGTGTTTATTCACTTTCCCTTTTATCTTTGGGCGTTCTAGAGGGGTGTTTGATGCTTCCCTCAAAATGGCCGGCTTCTATGGATTGTACACATGGCTGACTCATACCATATTTGGCATCAATATTGTCTTCATACCATCAGGTAACAATAGAATCATAATTTCCATTGTCCTCTGTTTAAGGAAAATTAAGCCATTTTCTGTACATGGGGAAATGCCATCTTCCTCAAGCTTAAAATACTAAATTTTGAGATCTAATCTAGTCTAGAATAGGAGCAGAAGTATGATTTGTAAGTTGTATTGATGCTGTATTCCCAGCAGCTTCAGCGATACCCAGCACTTAGAAAGCAGTGCGAAGTATTTGTTAAATGAGTGAATGTCCTAGCACTTAGCACAACACCTAGTACATACTTGGCACTCAGTGAATGTTTGAATTGAACTGATTGGCAGAGAGCAATGAGTTGGTCAAATAGCTTTGTACCATGAAGGATACTGTCTCTCAGGCAAGATCAATGTATCCGAGGGCACATAAGCTGTCTCCATACCCCTTAGGATCTGTTCTGATAACACCCTCATTCTGTAAGCACCAGGATGGTTCAGAGCCACCCTTTACTTTTTCCCCTACATTATCTCTGCTCCTCTCCTTCCATTTTTCCTTCTGTTACTACTGTGGCTGCTTGTCTTCCCAAATATATCTGCCTTCCACATTTACCCTCTACCACCATTTTTTCCCCTTTTGTCCACACTCCCTTTCTTCTTTACATTCCCAAATTCATTCTCAATCTTTCCTACTTCAGTGTCCTCTAAGCCCCCCTGTGATGGTCAAGCAGCCTGAGAGCACATGGTGGTTGTTTCATAATGACCTTGTGAAGCAGGCACGGTCAGGGGAATTCGTGTTGTAGAGATGAGAAACCAGACGTTTGCCAAGATCACATATCTGGCTAGTGGTAGGACCAGAGCTAGAATTCACAGCTGCTTGATGTAAGGTCTTTCATCCAGGGTTTTGTTTTTATTTTTGTTTAAATTACATTTTATTTTTGGTAGAAAGAAACAAGATGAAGAATATACATTCATCTCTGGGGTTGAGAAACTAATTTCTACTTTGGCTTTGGACTCAGTACAAATTTTGACCAGTGCTTAACTGTAGTATTATAGGACTGTATATTAACTAACCATTGTTCAAAATAACAACTGTGGAACATTAGAGTTTTGTTGCTTAAGAGATTGATGAAGTAGACACATATTTTTCAGCATCAGCTTTTGAGATGTATATCAAACCTTCATTTAACTAGCAACTTCGGTTAAACGGGGCATTATCATGCACTTGAAATTTGAGTTTGTATTTGTTTAACTTGTTTTGGTGTAATTGTTTAAATAGGAGGAGCTAGTACTTAGGTTCTGCTGTTTTGTTATCATTTTAATGGTGATGTCAAGTTGCTTTTCTTTTAATCTTAGCATTAGCAGCAATCCTAGGAGCAGTGCCATTTCTGGGGACATACTGGGCAGCAGTACCTGCAGTTCTAGACCTGTGGCTCACACAAGGCTTAGGGTGCAAAGCCGTCTTACTGTTGGTTTTTCATCTCTTGCCAACATACTTTGTAGATACGGCCATCTATTCGGATATATCAGGGTAAGTATCTGTAGAACTTCTCAAGTTGCTGGTGAGTCATATCCAGGGATTTATGTGGCCTTGTTAAAGAAGGGTTGTTTTGTTTTGTCTTCCCTTTTTGGGATGGGCAAAGGGACAGATGGTAGGATTTTTCAGTGAGGTAGTCCCTATGATCCCACTGATACAATCAGATTTTAATGTAATATAGTTAATACTGTTTGCGATTTTGTTGTCTAAGTATTTACAATACTTATAGTATTGTAGTGAGACCCTGTGTTAACAAAAAATTGTGGATAATTTTCTGTTTTAATGATATTTTAAGTTAGGAAAGAAATATTATTAGATGTACATAAAACGTTTTAAGTACAGTAATGAGTGAGTGGTTATTTTAGAACTTCTTTGCTTTTGGAGAAAAACATTAAGTTGTAGGTCTGAGATTTTCCATATGAAACCAAATCTCATAAAGTTAATAAGGTCTAATAAGCAGAGCTCTCTTTAAGATATTTAGTATGGTTCTAGGATGGGTACAGGTTAAATTTAAGACAGAATCCAAGCTTTGGCTATGTAATACAATAAATAAATAACTTTTATAGATTTTGGTATCTCTTAGAAATTGCATTGAGTAAATCAAGCCAATTCTTACTTAGTCACATATCCAGATTCACATTACTTATTAGAATCTAGGATATAAGCAAATGCTGAATTTTCATCAATTTACTCAAATTCAGAATATGCCTACTGAAACTGTCATAATAGTTAATATATTAAAATTTTTTAAGTAAAATTCACCATCACAATAAGTATAGACAAGAGCTCAGTTCATAGAAAGTGTCCCCTTCAGTTAACTGAAAATTTACAGGGACAAATGATATCCCACCTTGTTTTCTCTCTAGTAAGTTGAAGTAGAAAACAAATGATATATAACTACTCTGAAGCCCCAAAGTTCCAGAGCAATAAGAAATAAGCAACTCCATGCACAAGCTTTAGGGAAATTATTATGTCTAAAACTTGAGAGAGAAATTTAAAGACAAAAGGAGAACATCTGGATGTGGTTAATTGGTGCTTAACAGTTGAAATTTGCATAGAGTAGTTGTATGACTTTATCATTAAATGTTCTCATTTGTCTAAACTTTAAATTTTTTATTAATGTTTCTAGCTAGAATTTAAGATTTATATGTGATTTTATCTTAATAATAAAATACTACCTTGTTTAACCAGCATTAGGAAATGAAAGATTTCGTGTAAATTGTTAGATTTTTTTTAATAAATGAAGATTTTATTTAAAAGCTTCCACACTTTCTTTTTTTAAGCTTTAAGCATTTTTGGTGGAAACTTTTTAAAGTGTATTATTTAGGGAAAAAGCTTACTTACATAGCATAATACATATGTGGAATACTGCCCTAAATTGATTTTTTTGGGGGGGAATGAAGATGGATTATGAATATAATATATTGGTTTCCTAAAGACTACCTCACCTTAAATCTACTTATTGAACTGTAACATAGTACAGAACATTATTCCAGAGTTATTTACCCCTCAGTAAATTGTTCAATCACCTGTGTTTGAAAACTAGAACTAGAACATACCTTCTTTCCCAGTCCCTCTTACGTTAGTGGTCATTTGTTACTGTTATCGCTGTGCGGAGCTGCTATAACCTCTTACTGTATTCAGGTTACGTAAGTGATCCTGTGATAAGCTGGAGGGCAATCATGACTCTCTGAGATAGAAATCTCGGCTTTGTGACGGATAGTTTCCTCAGGATGCCCTTTATCATTACCCTTGTTTAAAAACTATTTAAGGATATTGCCACAAGTCTAACCTCTCAATAACATGAATACTATTGTATCGCCTTATAAAAAGCATAATTATTGGAATTACACACTAAATTGTGCCCCTTTAATTATTCTCAGTGGAAGTAAACTGAACACGTGACTTACGTAACCAGTCCTCAGCTAAGACTAACCTAGGTCAGGCAGGCATGAAACGGGTGTAGGATATCTGTTTACAGTTGGACTTCACTCCCTCCGTTGCTGGACCTTATAAAAAGGCAGATGTTGTCTGTGTTACACAGGTACATAGATGTGTCGCATCTCAATATTAGTACAACCGATGTTCATTTATCTGCACAGAGATAATCTAAAGAAAGCCGGTTATGCAGTCAAAGGCCTGGTGTGTTAGGAATGAACACTGTGCTAGAGATGTGTTTCAGATTTACTCCAAGGTTTATGTTTGTGAAAAGCCATGAGCTAATCTGTACGCTCTTTCTTCCAGAGGTGGGCACCCTTACTTGACAGGCTTGGCAGTGGCTGGTGGGGCATACTACTTAGGCCTGGAAGGAGCAATCATTGGGCCCATACTTCTCTGCATACTCGTGGTTGCTTCCAATATCTATAGTGCCATGCTAGTGAGTCCCACGAATTCAGTGCCCACGCCAAACCAGACCCCGTGGCCTGCCCAGACTCAGCGGTGAGTTAAAGCAGAATACCATGAACTGTGTGTGTGAAATTGAACTGTCCCATGGTTTATTTTTTTACGTGAACGGTCTGTCAGGATATAGGTATTTCATTGCGCAGCCTCCACTGAAGACTAGAAGACTCCAAGTAAACAGAAACCATTCGTTTGTAGACATTTGGGTTTCAGATACCAGGAACATTTAAAAACTAAATTGGGACAGAATTGTTCATGTCATGAAAGACCAAAAATAAGTAAAACATTAAAAAAAAACCACTTCGGGACATGGCGTACCAGATTAAAGGTGGAGTCTGGAAGTAGGACAATCAAATGCATTGCAGGAATGAGTGGACGGTCCTGGATTAAGTGTGGGGAAAATTGATAAACAACAGTTATGGAACAGTTGGAGAAATCTGAATATGGCTATGTATTAAATAGTATTTTTATATCAGTGTTAAGTTTCCTAGCATAATACTGATAACCTTGGTTGTATAGCAGAATATCCTTTAGAGGTAAGGTGTCAAGATGTCTGCAACTTATTTTCAAATAGTTGAGCCAAAACTGATAGAGGGGACGTGACTAATAGCAACATACTAACAATTGGTGAATCTAGATGAATGACATATGGTTGTTAATTGTACTAGTCTTTCGGTTTTTTGGTAAGTTTATACTTTTTCAAAATAAGAAGTTGGGGAAAAATTTTTGAATATACCAGTATGGAGTTATAACTTGTTATTTTGCAAGTACGGACATACAGTTCATAATTGCTCTCAGCTGTTGGTCACTAACAGTTCATAAAATGAATTACAGTGTAATATGAATTATAAGTAAAAATTTTCTCTGATTGTGTCAAAATTTTATAAAGCTTTTTATTGAGGTTTATCTTCCATGGGGCTGAGATGCACATCTTAAATATACAACTGGATGGGTTTTTTCAATGCATATACCCATGCAAGCATCACCTTATTAAGGTATAGAGTGTCTCCATTACTCTAGAAGGCTTCCCCATATACCTTCTCAGTCACACCCTTCTCTGCTAATAATCTGCCTATCTTTGAACTTTGCTTAATAGGGAATCCTGTATATTAAGTACAACTGAGTCAGGTCTCTTCTGCTCAACGTTGTGTCTGCGGCCTCCAGCCACACTGTCGCATGTACCAGTCATCCTTTTTTCGTGCTGCCTAGTATTCTAGTGCATGAGGATAACCACAGTTTATTCATTGCAGTGATGGACATTTATGTACCTGCCAGTTTTTGTTTTTGTTTTTTAAGATTTTATTTATTTATTTGCGAGAGAGAGAGAGCGCACGCGTGCCTAAGCAGAGGGAAGGGCAGAGAGAGAAGCCGACTCGCCGCTGAGCAGGGGGTCCGATGCGGGACTTGATCCCAGTGGGATCATGACCCAAGCCGGAGGCCAATGCTTAACAGACTGAGCCACCTCGGCGCCCCCTACTGGCCAGTTTCTTGTAGTACATGTCTTCTGGTGGACAGGAGTACTTAATAGTGTATGTCAAGAAGTGGAATGGCTGGGTATACTTCATGTTTAACTTCCGTGGAAACTACTTGTTAAACAAACTTTATGTTAACAACAGAAAGGTAATATGGACTGTTAAGAATGAAAAAGTAAGAAGTCTCAGAATAAAGAATTTCAACTTTTCAGAGACTATACTACATTGTCTTTATTAGTCTCCACTGGAAAACTATTTTTCCTCCTGTTGGGTCTTCTAGTTTAACCGAGGAGTTATTAATGAGTTGATTCTGAAAATGTATTTACTGAGACTATTTTAGGTTTTTCTTTAAAATTCTTTAGAAACATGGTTCTGCTTATTTTGTGTCAGTGTTGTGCTTTGTGAAGAAAGACATGGCCCTTTAACTCCGAAAGGTCAAATACAGTTTCTGAGTTAGACTCAGTTGATTCTTAGACTCAGTTGGTTCAAGGGCCATTTTAGCTAATGCAAGGCACTTAACTTGATGGCAGGGAAAAATCTCTTTCCTTAAAAGGAATAAAAGGAGAGGCACTTAGGTAGTTTTAACAAAAGCTTCACCATTTCGAAGGTGGTGACCCTATGATTTCTGCCTTTGCCTCTTAAAGGCAAGTATGCGGGTACCTGAGAAACCAGTGAACAGTTACTTGAAAGCAGTAAAGAGCACTTGCTAACTGGGTACCCTACTCTTTGGGGATCCATACAAGAAACCAAAAGAAAATTGGTTGATCAATATTTGCTGTTATTTTAGAAAAAAACTTTTCATGATTCCAAGTTAGTAAAGAAGGAATTGGTGCTTTAACTAATATGAATTCTTCCACAGGCAAATGGCCCTTTTCCCCCTTCTCTAGATGTAGGATATTATTAATTAGGTGGCATGGGGACTAAAAAATGCTGTGTGAAGGCTTTTATAGACTTTATCTTTTTTTTCCTTAAAAGTTATGTAAGCATATAGTTGTAAGAGTCAAAAATTTCTACAAAACTTACTGTGAAAGCTATCCTTTGCTTTCCCCTTGTCTCTCCTTTTCTGCTCTGAGAGGAACCACTTTTTAAAAGTTTTTAAGGTTTTTTTTGTTTTGTTTTGTTTTGTTTTGTTTTTTTGAGAGAGAGAGAGTTGGGGGGCATGAGGGGGGTGAGGAACAGAGGGAGAAGCAGACTCCCCGCTGAGTGTGGAGCCTGACACTGGGCATTGATCCCAAGATCCTGGGATCATGACCTGAGCCAAAGGCAGATGCTTAACCAATGGAGCCACCCAGGTGCCCCTGAAAGGAACCACTTTTTGACTCTAATTTCATTTTTACCTCCGTTTCTTGAAATAGCATGTTTATTTCTTGATTTTTTAAATGTATAGGCATTATCTATTTACTTCCCAGTTGGAAGGTGAGAAATTAGCTCTTTTACTACCCACCTCCCACTGTTATTTGTTTATTTTCTTAAAGTTTTTTGGAGATTTTTATTTATTTGACAGAGAGAGAGAGGGAGGAAGTGTACAAGCAGGGGGAGCTGCAGGCAGAGAGAGAGGGAGAAGCAGGCTCCCCATGGAGCAGGAGCCCGATGTGGGACTCGATCCCAGGACCCCGGGATCATGACCTGAGCCGAAGGCAGACACTTAACCCACTGAGCTACCTAGGTGTCCCTCCACCTCCCACTGTTAAACTGTGATATTGGTTAGATCACTGGCACTTAAATTATTATGACTCTGTAAATTATATTCCTATTTGAGCCTTCTTGTATATTCTATCTGTATTTCCTTACTTTATACAACTTTTTTGCTTTCCTTTGAGTTATAAAGATGCTTTGATTTGTTGGTTTTGTTTTGCGAGTCCTTGTAATTAGCCTTAAGCTATGCACCAGGTGTTCACATCTCCTCCTGCTCAGTATGCTGGGCTGTATCAGGTGTACCACACCGTCTGTCTTCCCGCTGAAGTCTCTTCTGGAGTCTTCTGATCTGCTCCAGCGGACGCTGGCTGCCCTTTTGCCTGCTGTTCAGCTGTCATTTCTTCAGCTCTCCCCTGTGTTGGAATTCTCACTTCCTATATCATTCCCCATATCATTTTCTTCCTTGATTTATTCCCTTTTTGTTGGAGCACAACCTCCTGTAGATTTTTGGGAAAGAACGCAGGGGGAGTAAATTTTGGGGGGATGATGCATATCTGAAGAGGCTTTTCCTAAAGTCGTACTTAATCATTAGCTTACCTGGGTAGATAAGTTTTTATTTTAAGATTTTATTTATTTATTAGAGAGAGAGAGTGCACGAGCACATGAGCAGGAGAAGGGACAGAGGGAGAGGCAGACTCCCTGCTGAGCAAGGACTCCATCCCAGGACCCCGGGATCATTACCTGAGCCAAAGGCAGATGCTTATCGACTGAGCCACTCAGGTGCCCCGGGTGGTGAATTTTATGTTCAAAAATTTTTGCCTTTAGACTTTCTTTATTTCTTCATTGTCTTCCGTCTTCCGTGCTTGTTAAATGTCTGAAGCCGTTCTGATTTCCAACTCTTTGTAATTTAATTGTTTGAAAACCTATAGGATCTCCTTTGTTTTCCTTTTTTTCTTGTTCCAAACGATATTTGATAAGACCTTTAAAACTGGAAGCTTATGTTCTGCAGTTCTAAAATTTTTCTTGTATTATTTCATTTATGATTTCCTTCTCATCCTTTTAGAAACTTAGTTTGATGTTGAGTTTCATACATAGGTAATCTCGTTTTCTTATCTCTAATGTTTTTCCATTTCTGACTTTTTGCCTCCATTTTCTGGGTGATTTCTTCAACTTTATTTTCCAAACCTTCCACACAGATTTCCCTTTTTATAACTTTTTTTTTTTTTTCAGTCTGGTTGATCAAGGTGTTATTTACATAAATAAAATCTACCTTTAAAAAAAATAAAATCTACCTTTTAGCATTTAGGTAGTTATTAGTTTTCAGTGATGTATAACAAATTACCACTGACTTAATGGCTTTAAAACAACATGCATTTGGGGCGCCTGGGTGGCTCAGTGGGTTAAAGCCTCGGCCTTTGGCTCAGGTCATGATCCCAGGGTCCTGGGATCGAGCCCCGCATCAGGCTCTCTGCTCAGCAGGGAGCCTGCTTCCTCCTCTCTCTCTGCCTGCCTCTCTGCCTACTTGTGGTCTCTGTCTGTCAAATAAATAAATAAAATCTTAAAAAACAACAACAACAACATGCATTTATTCTATCCAAGTTTCCGTGGGCCGGGAGTCCGGGCATGGTTTAGCTGGAACTTCTGCTTAGGGTCTGCCAAGGCTGCAGCCAGGGTGTCAGCTGGAGCTGGGGAAGCTTGCCTTTGGTTGGCAGGAGTCTGGCCTGCAGTAGTGGAACTGAGGCTGGCAGCTCCTGGAGGTGGCCCCTCTCCATAGGCAGTTTAGGACCATGGATGTCGGCTTCTGCAAGGTCAGCAGGAGAGCCGATTTCTGACTTCTGGCCAGGGGGAGGTGGGCAAGGATGTTGGACTGCTTTTTAAGTAGACTTCAAAGCAGCCCTTCTGCATTGAGCCCCAGCCTTACCCACTTCCAGAGTTC